TTCATGTTGTTTTCAGCACCTTTTCTGTATACGTTCCGGGACCTGTACGCGTCTCGTCATCCCTGAGCTGTCATATGTACTTTGCGTTCCGGCACCTTATGATTTACAAATTAAGCACTGGGTACACAAGACAAAAAAGGTTGGGAACCACTGGGTTAGACTATACAACCAGCACAGCCCCTAGTAGAGGTAAAGGTATATTGCACAGTTTTGAACAGCATGTATATATATATTGCACATATTGCACATAGTTGGTGGTTAACAACAAGGAGTGTTATAGTCTGTGTTGTTGTGTGTGTGGGGGGACACACAACAACACAGACTATAACAAAAAAAACTGTGGAATATATACCTGGCTGCTAATTCCTCAGAACTATTACAGGATGTGATATTACAGGATTTTGTAAATTGTGTACCTTTTTTTATTATAATATTTGTTCTTATCTTTAATATTTTTGTATGCATGCTTCTTAGGTAACATTACATTACATGTTACTTGTTAGATGCAAAGCCACTTACATACTCAATACTGTGGGCAATCCACACAGGAGCAATTTGGGGTGAAGTGTCTTGCCCCAGCGTTAGGGTTAGGGACGACAGCGACAAAACAACATGCTGACTGCAGTGGGGTTTGAACATGTGACCCCCTGATCCTAACACCAAGGCTCTACCCACTGCGCCACACGCCTCCCCATGAACATGAAGCTGTCTTTGGTTCTTTCCCGTTTTAACAATGTACATTTCCACTCTGTGGGACTAATTAAGGTATTCTGATTCTGATATTGTCAAATTGTTCTGTGATACCACTATTAATGGTGAGGTGTTTCCTAACAAACAAAGTTGAAACAGCTGAAGCAGAACCCAGGGACAGGAGGAAGGGGAGGGGAGGGAAGAATTAAAGAAGATTGAGAGGGACATTAAAGGGAAGAGATGAAGAAATAAAATGGTGTGGAGACAGAAATAAAGAGAGGATTATATTGATGAAAAAACTCACGAGAAGTAGAAATAAAAGAAGAGAATATGAATAAACACACACATAACTATATCTTAAGTCTCAAGCAATTTGAGCAAAGCCTCTAGTCATGTCTTATGGTTAAAAAGCCAGATCAAGTCAAGTTTCCTCTCCAGAGCAAATCTAAGCCCAGTCTCAAGACCTTATTAGTGGCAGTCCAATCAAAGTCCAGTCTCTAGCAGTTTGGGTCAAGTTTAAATCCACGCTGACAGGTCCAATATATGTGTTGAATAATAAGAGACAAGGCACAAGATCTTTAGGGTTACTCCAGATCAAGCCACCAATGATTGGTCTGTTTAGGTTTTATGTTTACCCAATTTTATTTTGTGAGATCAAGTACAGACCTCAGAGCATAAGGCCGAGTGAGAGCAGCTGCTGTGTGTGGACTCACCTTCTACAGGCTCCATGCTGGCTGCAGCGGCTGAGCGGCACTCTGATCACACAGCTGCTGAACGCCACGAACAACGCATGGCGCTCCTTATCCAGCTCCAGAGCCAGAACCCTTCTGTCCTCCTGACCCTGAACATTACACCTACACACAACACACAACACACAACACACACACACACACACACACACACACACACACACACACACACACACACACACACACACACACACACACACACACCTCATATAAAGGCGTCTTCAGCAGAAGAGGAGTATGAGAATAATCTCCGATGTGCTCAGATCTTACTTGGATGGATTGTAGACATGTATGTCCTCCAGCAGTTTGGATCCGAAGTTGTCGTTAGGATGTGTGCTGGTCAGAAGCTTCAGGACTCGGCCATCGTCTGAACCCAGGAACATCACTGTGCGGTCCTTGTACGGCCCGGCAGACACATCCACCACTATCTGGCTCAGCTTGGACCTTGAAGTAAACAAAAGGATGCTCAGTGATCTGTGAGGAAACATCATGTGTAAAAGCCTCCTTTTGCCAAAACAAATTGGCTAAATGTGTGATTTCAAAGACTTCAATAAAAACGTATTTTTTATTTTTTTTATATTATTCAAATGTACCACACTAGTAATGTTGTGACTCAACAGATATGTTAGATTTAGTTATGTTTTTACTCTAGTTAT